CCCTTGCTGAAACCGTGCTTTCCCTTTCTATCGATGTGTGTTGTGCCTCCGAAACGCACATACAAGACCCCACTTCGGTCGTACTGCTCAAGCCACTTAGGAAGAGCCCAGATGTTCCACATCCCATTCTTTGGGCATCCGGTGATCCTGATGCAATGGCTCGTGATATCTACGGTGTGGGATTTGCACTCAGTCCCAGGGCTGAAAGCGCCTCACTGGACTGGATTCCCGTAAACAGTCGCCTTTGCACTGTGTAGTTGTCCTGCTCAATTAAGACTAACCCAGTTTGATGTGGTAAACGGTGTTTGTCTGCCGTATCGGCATACATCCTAACAGATAGCAGTTCTGAGACTGAGAAGGACGAGTTTTATTAAGATCTATCATGACTGCTTCGGTCGGCAAAAAGGACGGATATAGTAATCTTAGCGGGTGATATGAATGCCCAAGTTGGACGACTAAATCCCGGAGAAGCACAATTAGGTGGTCGATTTGGTGTCGATTCTGAGCGTACGGATAATGGGGAGCGCCTTCCTCAGTTGCGTGTAGATCATCGTGTGTTCCTGGCCAGTACGAACTTCTAACACAAACGATCACATCGAGTTACGTGGAAGCCACCTACCACAAGACAGCCGTGGACTCAATTGGACCACAGGCTATCAGTTGCCGATGGAGATCCTCAGTTAACGACTGTCGTTCCCGCTGGGATACGCAACTTGACTGACTCATGCGGGCCCACCTAGCACTTCGCTTTCAGCCGGCACTGCGCGTGACGAAAGAGAGCAGCAGCGTTCATCAACTTCGACAAGTTTTAGTGGCTGAATAGTATCGAGTTGATCTGGCTAGAAAGCTACGAGAAAAGCACAGTCATGTGGAGGCCGAAGATTGCTTGGAGGATGAATGGATGCCAGTTAAAGAAGCAACGCTGTCAGCTTTTAAAACTGTTTGCCCAGCCCATCTTCCCCAAATCAGTGAACACTGGACATCTTCGAGATCAGTAGATCTTGTTACTGTCAAAAAAGCCATACCAGCAACCAAAGACTATGATCGCGCACACAGATCCCTCAAACACCGGAGAGGAAGAATGGCGGAGAATGCTGGTGGACTTTGAAGGTCCAGAAGATGGGAAAGGCTTTCGCTGTAGGCGACCGCTGCCCCCTGTTTCAATTGACCCTATCAGTGGGTCAAAAGAAGGCAGGTGTCAGTGAGGCAATATGCGAAAAATACGGAAGAGTAATTCACTCCATCAATCGCCGTCTTTAGTGGTGGGCTGAGCACTTCTAAGAACAGTTCACCTGGTCTCCTTCAACACAATCGCTGGAAGAATCAAGCGGGCCTGAATGGGACATTGACACCAACGCACCATGAACAACCGAGATCCAGCGTGAGATTTCAATCCTGAAGCGCGACAAGGCATCTGGCCCGGACGGTCTACACCCCGCACTCTTCAAGGAAGGTGGCAAGGTCCTGGCGAACAGTCCGATAACTATACTGCAGATTTGGAACGAAAACAGAATCCCAATCGAATGGAGCTCCTCGACCATCATCCCAGTTTTCAAAAAGGGAGCAAGAACGTCATATGGAAACCATCGCGGTATCAGCCCGCATCTAAGGTGCTGTCTGGCATTATTTTGCGCAGGTTGAAGGATTCCATATTACTATATGGATCAGAAACCTGGTCGCTGCGCGCCGAGGACGTAAAAAGACTTTCAGTGTTTGACCATCGATGTCTTCGGAGCATTGTTCGAATCTGGTGGGAAAACCGGATCAGTAATTCTGAAGTACGTCGAATGTTATTCGGGAGAAATAACTCACCCTCGGTAGATGAACTGATCACACCGCATAGGTTGCGCTGGCTTGGCCACGTGCTGCGTATGCCAGTCGACCGACTTCCTCGAAGGGCTCTTTTCGCACAACCAGGTGAAAGGTGGAAGAGATCTAGAGGTGGTCAAACAATGACTTGGCAGCGAAGTATGAAAGCCATTACCAGTAAACTCAGCTGCGCTGGTCACTGCCGTCTTCCTGGATGGGGACCCCGAGACGGGCCACATCAATGGCTAGAGACATTATCAGACATGGCCCAGTCGCGCCCTCAGTGGCGCTCGTGCATCCAAGCTATTGCCTTCAATGCATAGCTCCTTTTCTACCCCCCCTACCCACTTGACAGCCCACTGACAGTGCTGGATTTATGCACTAATTTATCAGCTCCCGCCTGCAATGCGCAGCTACCTACCCCTCCCCCCCCAAAAAAAAATCATCGGTGAACAAAACTGCGGCAGCTACAACCACTGTACGACAAGCACGCGGTCATTACAGCTGACAATGATGATGATGATGATGATGAGGTTGAAGGATTATCGGGAGAGACAGATTCGTGAGAATCAAGTTGGGTTTCGCCCTGGCCGAGGACGCATCGACCGTATCTTTCCCTTGAGACAAATTCTTGAACAGCGCCACTCCTTCAAACGTCCCACGTTGGTGGTCTTTCTTGATTTGAAAGCTGATTCCGATTCTGTCGATCGTCAGCAACTTTGGCAGTGTCTGGCGATCAAAGATGTTACTTCCGAATTCATCTCCCTTATGAGGGCACTGTATGCGAACTCCTGTGGGCACGTACAAATATACGGGAAGCTCTCGTCTGAATTCACCACGTCCAGTGGTGTAAGACAAGGCTGTCCTTTTTCCCCTTTCCTCTGCAACTTTGTTATTGATACACTGCTTGAAATTTCTCTGCCTGCCTCTGAAACCTCTGGATTCGAAATGCTCCTGGGACGTTCCCTCACAGACATTGAGTATCCAGACGATATTGCTCTCCTTAGTTCAGATCCTTCCCAAATGCAAATGATTTTAAATAACCTAAATAAATCTGCCGCACGGTCTGGCATGCGCTTCACACATGCAAAGTGTAAAGTGCTGCTACAAGACTGGGTGGGATCAAGCCCACACCTCATGCTTGCAGGTGGGTCAATCGATGTGATAGATAAATTTGTTTAATTGGGCTGGAGATGAGATCATTCCTCAAATCGTAAAGGCCAAGACAGCTTTTGCCGAACTCCGGCACCTATGGCACCGACGTGACGTGAGTTTGTCTGTCAAGAGAAGAGTTTACACTGCGGTGGTGCGATACACACTGCTGTATGGATCAGAGACGTGGCCCCCACGTGCAGAGAACATACGAAAGATGTCAGTGTTTGATCATCTGTGTCTCCGAAGTACTGGTCAATTCTGATAGGAACATAGAATTAGTAATGCTGAGGTACGCCAGATGGTCTTAGGAAGAAGGAACTCTCCCGCGATAGATGAATTACTCACGCTTCATAAGCTGCACTGGTTGGGATATGCACTCCGCGTACCAGAAGACCATCTGCTCCACAGAGTGCTTTTTTTCCCAGTCATGTGCTGAGTGGAAACGATCGAGAGGTGGAGAGTGTATGACCTGGCAACGAAGTACGAAAACACTAACCAGTAAACTTAGTCGAGTCAGCAACTGCCGCCTCCCTGTATGGGGCTCCCGGGACTCAATTAACAAGTGGTTAATGAAATTTGCGGAAATGGTCCAATCGGGCAGCCAGTGGCTCTCGTGCATCAAAACTATCGCCTTTAATGTGCAGCTACCCGATCTCTGGACAAATTGAACACGCCTTCGCCTCCAAAGCTTGGTTGCACTTTCCTGTTTCCAGGTGATTGAAACTGTAGTAGCTCAAACCAATGAGCACACACGGTTTATAGCTGATAAACTGAGTTGAACTGACTCAACTGAGACAAATCGGGCAGCGGTATTGCACGTTCCACTCTTGACGGTCAAGTTGATGCCATGCTGGCGCCACAAATGTTGAAGGCTAGCAAACACTTATATTTCATCCTATTTGGTCTACTTTTAAATTACGACAGAAACTTAAAACTTTTGTCTGCCCATGCTGAAACCGGTCATGAACCAGTTGCCTCAAGGTGGCCCATTATCTATTTGACGGCACTTCAGTGACTAATTGCACGTTGTTAGGGTTTCTTGATAAATTGAGTCAATCTTTTTCGACTTTTCCGTGCTGCTTGGTTTGACAGTCTTTCAATATGATTATTTTGCACCGCTATAATTTTATACACAAGATCTTTCTTGATTTGAGGACACATGTGGATAACGGTCATCCTCGTAAACCAATCGCGTAGAATGGCGGGGATCACGGGACGGCTCTAACACGAACATCAGTGTGAACCTATTGGTCGTTTCCGATCAATCATCCGCGAAGTAGCCCAGTGGTCTTACAACGAGGAATCCCAACCTAGAGTATGATAGTGAAGAGAAGTGTTTAACAATTAAATCGTTACGGATGCTCATGATCCTGAAGATGACTGGTTGGTAGATAGCCTTCTTGTTCAAAATCCTCAGTTCGTAAACAATAAAAGAGATGTTGAAATATATTTTTTATTCTCGTAACGTATGGTCTTCAAATCTAAGCCTGCGAAGTGTATCAATGAATGAGGTGACTTGAGTCATTTGCTAGGTGTATCGTGTCGTGTGCAATTATTAACTAGGGGTACTTTCGTCGACGATTATCAGATACAAAGGTTTTTGAAGCATCCCAAAATCCATTCAATGAAACACCAATGAATACAAACGACATCTTTTGAGAGATCCTTGAGGGGACTCCATGTGTATATTCATTCGTCTATCATTCCGAAAAACGTATTTTTTCATACTTTCTTGGGACACTCCTTGTGTTCAGAATAACGAACCAGCCAACATTTGCATAGGCTTTGAAATCAAGGAATATCGATACTGTTGGCTGCCAACGCGTACGCTGCTAGTCTAGCACCCGGTAGAGGGTAGATATCAGTCGCTTTATGATACCGTCACTGGTCATCTGATGGAGAGACGCACAAAAACTATCTTCCACAATTGTTGGGTTTTTCATTACACAGATAAGAAAGTTATCTGATAGCAAGCAACTTGGGAATCGTATTCAACAAAAAGCATTGTAAAGTGAGGCTCATTAAAATGAACTTACCTTCACCATGCTTATCCACAAACTGGAAGGCCTTAACCAGACGAAGCACTTCATCGACCGACCTTCCAACCGGAAGGTCATTAATTGTGATCTGACGAACTATTCCCTCAGGGTTGATGATGAACAGTCCACGAAGAGCTACACCCATTCCCTCTTGCAATACTCCGTAATCACGAGAAATGGACTTTTTGTAATCGGCCAGCAGAGGATAGCGTAATCCACCCAAACCCCCTTCCTATGAAAGAGGAAAAACGGGGCGCCGCAGAAAAATGATACCATCCAGTAGTGAGCATTTGAAATAGAATAAGGTACAGTTCAAGTCAATTTGTGTGACGACAACTCTCCCGTGTTTGACTTTACAATCTAACTAGTTGGAGTGTTTAAAAAACACCAATCCACAGAGGGTCATGGTAGACGTTAGGAGCTGGAACCTCTAACATATCTCCCCTGTTACTGTCCGTCTGGTGACCAGAGCAGAAAGCTTCCAGATGGTTCGGCATTCGACGCTCACGAATTCGATAACGAAAACTGTCACTCGACAGGATTGCTTACTTTTCAATTACACCTGCGACATGAAGCTATGTCAGATTCGTGATCCCATCAGATTGTGTGAGTTTTGCGTCCAAATGTGCCGCAACTGGGAGATATGAATAAATTCCTCCCTTGATAAAAAATAACCTACATCTTTAGCGTGGTTTGTTCTACACTGTTCACTGAGGACAAAATTTTACCTTGAAGAAAAATACTTCCAGATTCTTACTGAGCGGTTCGACCTTCACTGAGTACACAAAAGTGAACCAGCACCAGTAGCACGAACTCATTAGAATCAGTAGAAACCCGCGAAGTGATCAAAAACAGATGAATACTCTACACTTAGATTCAGTCATTACTCAGCTTTGAAAAGTGTGCCGAAGGTACGTTAGCTCCGGCTGCCACGATTTCGTTTATCGACGAGTGGTGGAATACGAACGGGTTGATTATTCAGTGCATATAATTGTCCAACCAGTACATTGGCATCTAAATATCCTGGCTATATGAAAAAGTGGGAATTTGATCAGCTACTGATGGAAAGCGACAACTTGGATGCAGGAGTGCAACTGGATGAGGAGCTGGTTCATCTTCACCAGTTAACCAATATATGATATCTCGAGGTCTCCATCGAAAAAGCAGTAACTCGACCAAACCCAATCAGAATATTAATATGTCAATCAGGTCACGGACAGTTTTAAACATTCACATTCTAGCGCCTCGCTTTTGGAATTTTTTTTAGATATATAGGCTATCAGAGAGATTATTTTCCTCCTTGTTGAAACTCCTGGAATCTGTATTGGTTTCCACTTTAGCCACTAGTTAGTACATCTCCCTCCAGGGGACATATCGTATACTGCTGCCTTCCTATGATTGTGGTTCCTGGCTGTATTGTCATGAATCATCATGGATGCAGATCTTCTGGGCAGATAAAGGGGCATATTAGGCTCAGACTTATGTTTACTATGTGCCCAGACGAAACCTAGTTTCCTGTAGATCGACTCCCAGTACCTGCTTTACAACAAACACTTACTTTGCGAGGAGTATTGATCCACGCTAAATGACTGAAATGCGAATCGGTGGACACGCCAACGATAGCCGTATTGATCTTGGAAAATTCATCCATCTTATCGGAGAACGCTATCAACTCGGTGGGACAGACGAAAGTGAAGTCAAGCGGGTAGAAAAACAGCACTAAATATTTCCCAAGGAAATCTTTCAGTTTGATCTCCTTGAATTCTCCGTTGAAAACTGCGGTACCAGAGAAATCGGGTGCTGGTTTCTGCACCTGTACAGTATAACCACGCGTAGTCAATAGGGTGGACGACCTTTGGAGTCGACTGAAGCGAACTGCGGTCAGAGCGAATTGTCGAAGAAACATTGTAGGGCTGAAACACAAATGGAACTAAGTCAGGGATATTAACGATATTTTATCATCGCTGACAGAAACATCAGCGTTTGACGCAGGTGCATCACTGTGGTGTGAGAAAAGGGGGGAGTCAACTACAAACACTAGGTGGTACCTACATCCTCAAAAAATTAAAGCCGAATGCAAAAGAATCGCACTAAACTCAATGTGAAAGAATAAAGTTACAGAGCGTGTGACATACCACTAATTACCAGTAGCTTCTCTGCAGTGCGGTACTACAAATGTTCATTCACGAGAATATACATATGCCGCATTGCGACTACATGGAGTCATCCAACATGGTATTACATCTCATCACCTAGGCCACCTAGCCAGTTACTACCGATGAAATTCATAAGTGATTCTAATAAAAACAACTTTGGGGGCTAACAGATCAGCTCAGTTTTATGTCCAATGGCCGTGTGTTTGTGTACAGCAGTTTGGGTAACCACAGCAATTAGCAGCAATTATTATTACTAATAGAAAAAAGAAAGAAAGAAAGCGTTCAGCTGTAGCACCCGTTCGGTGCCTAGCTGCCATGCCACCCGAAGGAAGCACGAGGGCTGGGATACTGCCAGGATGCCCAAGCCTAGACAGGGGAAGTCGAGAGGCGGAGGTCGGATTCGAACCACGGACCTTCCGGTCAGTAAATTCGCGCTCTCACCACTTGGGCCATCTCGCCCCCATTTGTTACTAATAGTAAGTAGAAGTAGCAGTACATATGAGGAAGAGATATTTGGTTTAATGTACAAGTTATGATCAGGGAGATAAGAAACTTTTCACTGGATAATCGGGTGAATTGGAGACCTAGTCCCTGTCCTTCTGAGTTCCAGCGGGACGTTGCAAGTTATCATTGTTTTTTGTGTATGGTCAATCAACCTTCTGACCTGGTGTTATCTGTCAAGGTCGTTCATGCCAAAGCAGGGAAAACTTTGCATTCATTAATTACCAGTCTTCACAAGATGATAAACTTTTTGAACTACAACTCCCAGGACTCCACTCCATTTAAGTCGTGCAGCGGACATACACAAAAAACCGTTCAGCTGTAACACCCTTTCGGTGCCACCAAAAGGAGGCACGAGGGCTGGTATAATGCCACCCCAGTAAACACGGTGCCACCGGTGACGTGTTTACTGGGAGGTTGCCCAAGCCCAAATGGGGGAAGTCGAGAGGCAAAGGTCGGGTTCGAACCGAGGACCTTCCGGATCAGTAAATTCGCGCTCCAACCACTGAAAGCCATCTCGCGACCATACATACATATGCCAAATCCATGACGACTGGCTTCTTCCATCTTTCTTTATTGTTATCCCTTACCTCCCCTTTATGTCCCAATTCTAGAGGTCCCAGAACTTGGTTGGACAGCCAGGGACCCAGAAAAATGACCTATTGTATTCCACAGCCCAAAACGATCACCTCATCGTTCCTGTCTTTACAACAACAATATGTGGAAACTTAAGCAAGTAGGCTTCACTCCAGATGCTTGATCTACAGATATTTGCTGCAGTCCTGAAGCGCTAATGCAACATTCAAGTATGGTAGCTGAACTTGCCGCTACCGTCTACGAGTTTTAGGTGAGCCTACAGGTACTGAAAAGGGGCTGCCGCGGTGTCGGTATAGCCATCGGCCGGGCAGTTGCGGCTTAAATACTCTATTAGACACTCAGAAACATCCGGCTCGGTGCCCTCCGACTGTCTACCTCCATAAGAACTCACGCCCATTGAAACACTAGTCTCTCTATTTGAAGGGTAAAAATACACATCCATCAATTGTAATCCCAATCTAAAAAACCTCTACCGAAAACTATCACTCCCTTGTCCACAGAAAACAGACCGAAGAACGCTCTCACGTACAAGTAGGGCAGCTCAAGGCTCCACAGACGCTTAGAGGTGTATTCAGTAAAGCGTAAAACCTAAAGATTACGGTGGGCGGTTTTCGCAACATTATAGTGAACACCAGCGTCTTCTGGGTAGTAGCTAGTGTGGATGAAATAGATACCACAGTGCTACTTGACGTCCACCGCTGGAACCAAATTAAGGAAAGCGGGACCATCTACCGGCAGCGAAATCCAGTTCTTGAATGACGATCATCCTAGAGCATACAAGGACACACATAACCTCAACAGGCACCGATTCTCATCTATTCTCCGGCTAACCTATGAAACCAAATTGCCATTTACCAGTGGGAAAACCTTGCGGATAATAGGTAAAAGAACTGTACCAAATTGACTATTAAGTGCGCAAACACGTCGCCCCACAGAAAAAACACTGACTACCATGGGACACGGATAACCGGAGCTATGCAATACGCCAGAAAATCCCTCTCGTCCTTCCAGGCGTGAACATAAAAATCATCGGATTTCGGAATGGTTATTGTCACCAAGGAACGCGAGGCGCCGGATCCCATCGAGGTGATCAGTTCGACATCAGCTAAAACAAAGCTACTGTACGGAGGAAGACGTGGAGGAGGAAATTCAGTAAATAAAATCGGGAATACAAGGAAGCCGTACCGGAGAATCCGCGAGACAGGACTCGCAAACCGTCTGTCTGTGAGCCAAACGGGAGATATTGCAAATCTAATGTACGATGCGAAACGTGAATTGATTACTAAACGGGATATTTTTTAATCAGGACCCGCCCCGTTTTGCTCGAAAGACTCAAATCTAGCCGTGGCTCGTCAGCTCACGTCCTTTCTCAGTTTACGAAACATTAATACTCGGTATCTGTGTCAACGGAATATTCGGGATGGGGCGGAGATTATACCTCTGGACGCTTCTCTAGGTCGTGGACAGACGGGGTGACCTTTGGAAGCTAGCTGTAAACAAGCCACCCGTGATGAATAAGCAGTCGTAAACAGCAGTAGTACTCCCAGAGAGCAGTGAGTTCAGACCCAGTTAGTCGGCTCCTTACGAATAGCCGCAAACGCTCCATTACGGCATCGTGACAAAGTCTGCCTGCCTGAATTTCAAATAAAGTCACTGACCTGGAGTATGAGGGCGTAGTAATAGCCTCATCGTGTTGAACTTTTCGCAGGACTGACCATCATCATTCCTGATGTCTCAGTGAACGGTCCTAATGGCGTGTGGGCCCCCACTCACCTCGCGGCTGAACTTACATATGGACCGAGCTGTTTTGTTGCTCACTGACAAACATGGTCTTATGGCGCACTGAGGATCATAGGTGGCGCCCTACCGTCAAGGGTTTGTATGATCATCGAAAACAATGCGCCATTAGGCTTACGAACTACCTCTGTGATCAAAGTCTCCCAATGAAGTGCGGACTTCACGCTTCATCTCACTGTTTTGTGGGTTGGGTCCTATCATCAGAGGCTCCTGCTGGAGCTCCTCCGGTTAAGTCCCCTACTTGGGCCTCGGTAACCGGATAGTATATGACCCTCAGAGTTCATGGACAACTATTACATATAATATTAGGATTTTCATCGCTGTGTACTCTTAAGCATAATCACTTATTCGTTGCGTGCCAAACTTAATCTATCAACAGAAAACTTTACTAAATGTTATCAAATTTTCTGCCAACGTATCGTCTTCGCCAGACTGTTTTGCTCTATATGCGTATGTCCCAGAGCGAACATAACTGCATTTTTTCATCCTCGCGTCCCCTTTAAGCTTGCATCTGAAAGGCCGTTCGGGTTTTGATATCATCTGATCTAATAATGGAGATAGAGTGTTGACCCTGTGCCCGGACCACATTTTGTTTCTTATCATTAGCTCAGCTGTGGTCCTTCATTCGGGTTGCATGGCAGCTGTGCACTGAAATGTGAAAGCTGGACGAATATACAAGTGGATAGTTCTAAATAAGGGGCGAGATGGCTTAGTGGTTAGAGCGCGAACTTATTGACCGGAAAGTCCATGGTTCGAACCCGAACTATGTCTCTAGAATTTTCCAGTCTAGGCTTGGCGACCTGGCAGTATCCCAGCCCTCGTGCTTCCTTCTGGTGGCATGGCACCTGGGCACCGAAAGGGTGTTACAGCTGAGCGCTTATCTTTTCCTTATCTAAGTCTTAGTTTTCCGAGCCCAGGAATGGTTGGAGTCATGGTGGACAAATTTACGAAGCGTAAAGCACACAACAGGGTTGGGCAGTTGTGGTTAAAACCAGTAGCGTATACGAGACTGGGTCCCTGTTAGACTTGCGTGCTTGATCCTAAAGCGCAGCATCTCTAGCAGTGTCCAGGCTGCTCATCGCAGTCTGAACGCGCTTCGGAAGTGGAAGCCATTCTACTCTCTACAGACGCTTGAAGACTCTTCCACCTCATCAGAGGTGGGAAGTACGATAGCGAAATTATGTTCGAAGCAGACGGTACACCGACAAAAACGTACGAAGACGGCCAGCGTTGGGTGGAGCACTTCGGAGCCGTCTCGCGGATTTTCTGGATGACCGACTGCATTCACCTTCGCTCGCTGCTGATATACAGGATCTCCCACAAAATTAGAGGACAGATCGGGCTTGTAAACCTTAACCAACAGGACGAAAGTCTTCATGCAACGCTTTTGAAAGATGGCGATGTCGTAGCAAGAGTTAACGTTCGTGTTGCAAAGAAGAGGAGGCTTCCCCATCTTGATATGAATCAAGCAGCGCGTCCACATCCTTTACATCACCAGCTCCAAAAACTTCTGGCATCCATTACCTTGTATTCGTAACATTTTTTTATACATTTCTTTATACATTGACATGTGGGCAGATGAGGATGGTTCCCATTCTTTGCCGATTCTAGAATGCCGACAGTTATGGTCAGTCTACATATATGTAGACGGTGCATACACTTGCGGCTTACAACTCCGTTGGGAGAAATACCGCATGGGAGTGTTGGTGGCTTATATGATAAGGTATGAGTATGGCCATGGAATGTGTTTACAAAAGTCCCAATGCCAATGATGAGCCTCTTTAGCAGTAAAATTCACTGGGCGTTGATCGGAGACTTCGATACCCGAGATGTCGGGCCGTTAGTCGGAAATCCACAGGGATCCC